ATATATATATATATTATAGCTTAAAGAAAAATATTGGCCTTTGCTGGGAATCTTGACTCCATCTTGCTTGACCTGGACTAGAATAGTAAAGATAAACATTACAGAGCAGACACGGCATACAAGGTAGAGCCATATTTATCCACAGCAATAGTAGTTGATTAAAGAAGCACTTAATACATACTTCTTGGTGATAAATTGTTTATATCAAAGCACTATGTAAAATTAGTGCCAACTTTGTACTTAAATAATAAAATATCCAATCTGCAATCCATTTAGCAAAGTAAAAAATTATACTTTTAGACAAATACTGCAGCTTTTCTAGATAAAATCTGATTGCAAAGTTAAATATTGTTTTAAAATAGAACCAATAAAAATATTTTTCTTTCTGGTTAGGCCTGCTCCTGGTCAACAGAATTCTATTGGTTATTGTTCTCCTGCCTCTTCGCTCCTTGTGTGAATGCAGCCCTGAGCCCACTGTGGATTGCTCTAAGCTTGCATGCATAATTACAGTTTATCTCTGCATACTTTTGAACATTTATAATGCAGAAAATATTTGCTGGAGGTAATTCTCATCAAAACGTTATTTGTGAAAATGTTCCTTACACAGTTCTTTCTCAAAGCATATTACTGTGTTCCATAAATAACTGTTAAATATTGCAGCATCCTTGGGAGGAAGTCGAGTAGGAATATTATATATATATTTGGAAAACTAAAGCCTCTTTTGGTTTACCATATTGAATTAGCCACACGCATTTCTGGGCTTTCATAGAAGCTTGTCATCCCTACAAATTTGTTAGCTCTAACCTGACTGAGACTATATTTTAATTATCTTTTTTATTATTTTTATATTTTTAGAGAGCGAGAAAAAGGAAGGGAGAGAGAAGTGTGAGAGAGAAACATTAATCGGTTGCCTCCTGCACTTGCTCCAAATGGGAATCAACACTGCAATCTGGATATACACCCTGACCCCACCACTTTTTGGAATATGGGGCAATGCTCCAACCAAGCCACACCAGCTAGGGCTAATTATCTAAGCATCCTATATAATAAAAGCTTAATGTGAAAATTGTCCCCTCAACCAGGAGCTAAACTGGGAGTTCGACCCCTCGCTATGATGTACACTGACCACCAGGGGCAGCATGGAACATGGCGGGCATTGGTAACCCAGTGGAGGATGGCCCTAAGGAGAGCAGGACCATGGTGGGATGGTGGAGCAGGTGAGCAGGCAGCACCAGGCCAAGGCAGGTGCAAGCGGGGGTCTGATCGCTCCACCAATTGCCGGGCAGATGGCAACCGGCAGCAATCGCGAGGTGTGGGGCTGCCGCCCAGCTCCCAGGCACCAAGGGAGACAGGCAGGGGGCCCAGCCCCTACCAATCACCCCACAGATGGTGACCAGCAGCCGGCAGACCCTGATCGCCCAATCGGTGCCAGGCCCCGGGCTGGGACAGGGAACTGGGGTGGATGGCGGAGACCAACCTCCCGTGGCACCTGGGTTGGGAGCTGCAACCTCTCGCAGGCTACCTGGGGGCAGGGGTGACGGGACAGAGGTTCTGTGAGAATGCAGGGTGACCGCCGAGCTCGCTCTCACTCCCCCTGCTACCCTGCCCAGGATGCCAGGGCTAGTGTGCTGGGGAAGCCCTACACCCAGGTGCCGGGTGCTCATGAGGAGCCTGCCCTGCGTGGCCTCTTCCAGGTGAGCCGGGCCACAGCTGCCAGGACTGCAGGGGCTGTCCGGCTCCCAGTGGGTTTGCAGGAGCCGGTCTGCGAGGCCAGCGGAAGGAGTGGCTTCCTGCCTGGCTTCTGTGTGGTGCCACTGGGCAGCCCAGAGGCCCATACTGCGCCCTGGCCCGCAGTGTCAGGCTGCACTCACCACATCTCTGCGTGGGGACTCAGGTGCCATAACTCAGGCAGAGGGGGGCGTGCGGGGCCCAGGTGCTGCCCAGGGCCCAGAGGTCAGCTGGGACCTGCCATTCCACGCCAGACGCTCATGCTTCAATCGCTGGCCAGGCCTCGGGATGCCCCTGTGCACAAATTTCATGTACTGGACCTCTAGTAAAGCAATTCCACTAAAAATATTTTGGTGTCTAAAAGCCTTTTTGTGCTTATATTTACTGGATCCTGAACATTATAGCACACACGAGTCACCTGTAGATAGTGTGAAATGTAAATTCTGATTCAAGAGGTCTAAGGCAGGGCCTGAGAATCTGCGTTTCTATCAAGCTCCCAGGTGATACTGAGGCTGATGGTCCACGCATTTCACCTTGAATATCATGTCCCTATGTTAACATCTACTGCTATAACTATAGTAGAATGCAGCACAAATGCTTCTAAAAATCTTGGACAGCTTTTCCAAATATATTATTAGTGGAATTTTTTTTCTTTATTTATTTGAAATTATCCTGATATGGGGAATTGGCACATAGTTTGGTGGTTAAGATGGTATTTTCATAACCAGAAAAAAAAGTGTTCTGTGACTCAGAAAAGACCATGTAAGTTTCTTCTGAGTGATGGTCAGAGACAACTGGTGAGGAGTGACATGGCTAGTGAAGGTGGCAGATTTGAGGAAAGAAAGATATTAGTCCAGCCCAGCACAGCAGCAGAGATGTGAGGGCGGCATTAAAGACGACAAGGCACAGAAAGTAGGTCTGAACAGATGCAAATCTGTGACAAGTCAGGAAAACTTGGGAATGGGAAAAAGCTGCAAGGCTTGCCAGAAGGCTGCGCTGTTTTGCTCCTGTGCTCCCTTAATGAAATGTTACCTCCTTGAGCAAATCACTCAAGGCATTTGATATGCCAGCTATCACACTGGGTGCACTCAATATTTATCAAAGGGTCATGGTGCTTTAAAAAGATTTTGTAATACTTGCTTTTCTTCTGCTTTGTATAGATTCTTTGATTTAATACAATTTCTTTTATCATGGTAAGGAAAGTGGTGCTAGTATAGGTTGTCACCCAGACATAGAAATAATTATCATCAAGCACTAAACTTTGACATGCAAGTAGTTCTGATAAGATTATTCTTGAACTAATATGATTTGCCTTTGAATGAATGAAAGAAACATATTGCTAAGCCCATTTAATCAGTTAGCTTGCCATATAGCTCTGTAATATGCTTGAACAAAACAGAAGAATTGTAATATCAGTTGGAATTGTATAGCTAGTTTAGCTACCAGTGTAAGGTCTAGAAATAAACAAATTCCCTCGTTCTTATATTTCAAAGGTCTATTAAGTAACTACTATGTAATTGATAAGGTGCTGGGGAAACAGAAATGGAAAAATATGGTCTTCGTCTCTACAATCTGGCAGGGGAAGAGCTACAGGAATACACAAAAGCAACAATGTAGTAGCTGTGGTAACATTATGGGTGTGTAAGAGGGGGAGTGATCACTCCTCTTGGAAGGGTCAAGGATAATGCCAAGCTGGCGTGACAGCTGAGAAGTAAAACATGGATGACTGTTGTGATTCTGCTGTCTATTAGGCATTGTGCTAAGAACGGCAGGAAATGAGGTATAATGTATACGTTTAATATTTATTCAACAATGTTTATAGAGTACATTATTCCATATAATGTAATAAGCTATATAATCTCTATTTTCGAAAAGTGAATAGTCTAGTTTATGAGACAAGACACACACGAGTGTGGAGGAGGGGCTTTGGGGGGTCACAGAACTATGTAAGTGCTAAGTGAACACAGTGTGAATAAGTAATAAATAAGAGAGAGAGCAGTATGAACTCAGCTAATCCAGGAGGGATACAGAAGCTGAGTAAGACCTAGGCCAGTGGAAAGATGGCTATTTTCATTGGAGAGAATGACAAGGCAAAGGCATGGGCACAGGATTATATCACAGGATATTTCAAGTGCAAGAAACAGAAAACCTAAGATAAATTGGCCTGAGTAACAAAGGAAATTTGTTACTCAGAGAACTGGAAGGTGTACAGGCAGGGTAGGCTTTAATGTACTCCATCCAGAGGTCTTTGGCTCATTTCCTCGTGATCCTCTCAGCTCTGACTTCCTCTATATCCTACTTTGTCCCAGGCTGGCTTTTCTCAGAGCAGCAGAAATGGCTGTAGTATATCAGGAGGCAAGAATTAAGAGTCACAACATTCTCGGGGTGAATCCTGAGATTCATTCTTACTGGACTGGCTCAGGCTATCTGTAGCTCCTGCACATGTCTTTGTTCAGAGGGATGGAAGTTCTGACCAGAGTAACACTGGTAGAGTCAGTTTCTCAGGAAACACAAGAATTTTTCCAAGCAGAAACAAGGGGACTGTTGGGAGGTGAAGGCTAGACATCAGATAGGCAGTCAATGAGTGGCAGCTGCAGCTGGTTCAGAGGTCATTCTGCCCTCAGAATACACTGTCACCCTTCTTAGTGTCATCAGTGCTGAGTGCCATGTTCATGTGGCTTGTGAACACCTAACCTGATCATTTGCATTATGTCTGGTTCCTCTGGTAGAGGATAAACTTTGCAAGGGCAAGGAAGCATGTCTTATTCTGCTTTATATCTCCAGTACCTAGCAGAGAGTAGGAACATAGTAGACACTCAATAAATGGATGTGATTCAATCAGTCAATGTACAAAAGAACTTTAATATGGTTATGGTGGGACCAAAAAGAAAGAGACAGTGAAGTTAAGAGTCCATTGTACACTTGAGGCTTGAGTTAAAAATGGTCTGGCCATGGGCAGCATTTCCCAATGTGTGTTCCAAGCCAAATTAGTCTCATGTGATGTTCTTGGAAAAAGAGTTAGTGGTCAAACGAGTTTGGGGATTACTGTATTCAGTGTCCCCCACACATGCTCCTAAAGTTTGTCATATGCATTTAGCTGTTATACCTAAGTTATTTCACATAAAAAAAATGTTTAATATAATTTAACCAAGCAGTTCTCAAAATTATCTGACATATACCTATACCTCATCCTTCTCCACATAGTATTTATTAATGTTTTCTGGAAGGAATATCTTGTTTTATAAGGAAATTTATCACTTGTTCCAGTATGAGCATGCCAAGAACAGTTCTCCCTGTACCTTTCTAACTGCAAAAATGAGATGGATCTTGATTCTCTCATGCAGTGTCCATCGCAGTTAGAGGGGTTTCCTCGGTTGGTAAGGACAAGGAGGGGCTCCTGATCCCAGGTGTTCCTCCCCCCCCAAAATTCCCTTCACTAAAGGTAATTGAAAAGCATTCCTAGCCCTGTCCCCACCCTCAACCCCACAGAGGTAACAGAAAGTGAAGTAAATCCTGCCAATTCCCAGGATCATTTTAGCTTGGGGCAGGCCATCAGATGTGTGGTGTTAGTAGACTGCTTGATCTGATTTAAACCTAGTGTAACCGTGCTGCGACCATCGTGTCCTCAATTCTGTGCTAACTGTGGAAAGAGAAAAAAAATTACTCCTGGATGAAAGTGACTCTAGCTTTACGCGTGTAACTCTAAGATATTCCTTGATAAAGAATGCCTAAAGTAATAACTAATACAAAAAAAGGCACTTTCCAATTTGTCTTTTTGCTGCTTTCTAAGGCAATGAGTTGAGATTATAATTATTATTAAGGAAATTTTTCAGGCATTAGTAGAAACTAGAAGGACTATATAAGAAAACATCTTTGTACTCATCACTCAGCTATCCATCTCTAACTCATAAGGTACACATATATACCAAAGTATCTACAGTTCAAATGGCATATGGATAGAAAAATAGATAGATGATAGATAGATAGATAGATAGATAGATAGATATAGGTATTATCACACCTAAAAGAATTCATAATAATCCCTTAATTATCTGATACCTAGTTCATATTCATAATTCAAAAATTATCTCAAAAATGCATGTATATAGTGTCTGTGCTCAAGTAAAATTGAGATGCAAACAAAGTGCTCATATATTAATCTCTAAAGTATCATTCTTTTTTTTAATTTATTTTTATTGGTGAAAGTATTACAAATGTCCCCTTTTTTCCCCCTTTGACTTCCACCCCACACACACCCAGGACTTTACCACACTATTGTCTGTGTCCATGGGTTATGTATCATCCTTAAGTTTTAATCTCCTTTTCCTTTTGTTCTAGCATAGTAAGAAGCTAACAAAATGCTAGAACTAGCAGAATAGGGAAGCTAAGATAGTTAAACAGCAGTTTGAAGCCACCTAGTAAATCTTATTTTTCTTAAACCAAGGACACTTAGGAGTAAATGGTCTGCACTTCTCCCCAACCAGAGGGTAAAGAGCTCAAATTACACTACTCAGGGAGACAAATCACAAAAATCCAGTTAGTGCCATTTGCCAACCACACCCAAGGACAGAAAATTAAGAGAATAAACCTCATATTGGTACATAGCATAAAGCAGATGAATATTCTATTGATCCTCCCCTAAGATCTCCCCTAAACACCCAGCCTTTAAAACCCATGAAAATAAAAGTACCAGTGTGTGCTCTCCCTCCAGGGAACACAACCGTGCCATCCTCTTCCCCTTCTCCTTGCCCCACAGGCATGTCCCTTCTAAACTCAGAGAGGCCCCACAAGACTTGCAACCAGGGAAGCAATGGGCAGTGGCAGCTCATCCTTGGCTACCCTCCTGAACCTGTGTCCAAGGCCCCCTATTCTCTGACTTTCCAATGAGCCAAAGCAGCCCAGCCTAAGCTCTCCTGTTGCTTCTTCTATGGCCTTCCCTGTTTAACTGTCTTAAGTGTATTTTTACTGTGGTCAATAAATTCTTGCTTGCTTTACTACACTTTGCCTCTTGATTAAAATCTTTCCTTCAAGAAGACAAAAACAAAGTTCTCCTTGTTTTATTGGTAATACAGTGTGTTTTTGTTTTCACTTTTGTCATTAAATTCTACGCTTTTTTCTTTTATGCTATATGTACTTTCAAGATACTTTTCAGGACATATTGTTCTAATGATGAAAAGAAATAAAAAAGTCAAATAGGTGAATCATCTTAAAATTGGGGCAGAGTACACACAAAGTTAAATGGAACTTGTAGTTTGTCCTTCATGTTCTGAATGTCACGTATTTTTTCTCAACTATTTCTTTGTAGAAAAATAAACAAGAAATTGGCTAAGGAAATATAGTTTCTGAGTAATAATTATATTTTACAATTTTATACTTATAATTTGTTATTCCTATAGGTGAGGCAGGACTCCACTCAAAATCTGCTGCCTCCTGAACATAACACCCATTTTCCATGAAATGACTCAGAACTTTGTGTTCTTAAAAGGTTTGTCTATATCTCTCTAGATGTCTTAATTTATTTTAAATAAATTAAATACATATTTCATCTTTCATATGACATGATTGGGAAGAAACTTAGAAAACAAAATCTAAGGATCATTTTCAAAAGTAGGATCCAGCCTTCTTAAGAGTTTTGCTCTATGTACTTAGCCATCCCTGTTTCTGAAAAGCTACATGGTAAATGGATCACTTCATTGGCAAAGACAGTAATTTCTAAGCCTTTATTTAGAAGAGATGAGGAAAGAAAAATACATCGTGAAGAGAATTAGTAACACAATCTTTCAGTTGCAGGTATTTCAATTGATTAACTATCAGGCCAAGCATTTCTCTAAATTCAGCAAGCCAACTTAATCTGTCTTTGGACATATTCTTTGTAATTTGTTAAGGCTTTTGACCCAGTCAAGAACACCAAACACTGACTATTAGTTTGGGTTTGATTTGTAGGTTGAGATTACTTTACATAGAGAAATCTATACATTGCATGATAACCCAGTTAATCAAAGCTCTTAAAATTGCCAAGGGATATGCCAAAAAGTCTTAAAGAGGCACACAAATGATTTGTAAAGATATCACTATCATTTTCTTCCTGATTTGTTACAACTGTGATACTTCTTCATGCTCTGACCTTTAATAGAATAGTTCCCCTATAAGCCATTTCTTTCTAACATCGGCAAAAAAAAACGCTCTTCTCCTTTTAAGTGCAAGTTACTTATGCAATCATTCATCATTTCCAGATGCTGATTGGGGGACTGTTTGAGACAAAGAGAGATTATATACCTGCACTCTCATTTCTTAGAACATCTTAAAGTGATTCTGAGTTAAAAACTCTATGCATGCACTGAAACAAGCAAGAGGGATAAAGCTGTCAGTTTTCTAGCCACATGGTATATTCTATTCTCCAGTGCTGATCTTGATAAAGAACCTGTGCTTCATAAACCATTGAAAAACTAGAATTTAACCGCCTAGCAAAAGAACCATGACATCAATATGTCTTTAAATGGAGGTCAGGGAAAAGTTAAATTACTGACCGAATGGGTAAAAATCTTTCCCTTGACATATAGCCTAATTTTTTCAGTACATCTCCAGGCAAGATTGTGTGGCTACATTCATTTAAATCATTTTATCCCTATATTTTGCGTCATACTAAAGGAGGACGGGTAAGACGTGACATTGGTGCTCAAAAAGGGCAAGTTATATATAGGTAAGAGCACCTTCCTTGACACATACTATTTTTGGAGGAGAAACCATCTCTCCTGTAGGACAGATAAAACTAGTCATGTTGAATGTATACGGGAGTCATCTCATGGTTTTATTCATCTCTGCTAATAGGCACATATCTCAACTTCTGCAGCTGTAATGGCTTCTGTACAAATGGGCTCTCACTACATCCATGAGGCTTTCTTGCCTTTCTCTTTTTCATATCCAACGGTTTGTGGGTCATAAAATCTAAAGCTTTGGCAGGAGGGACCTGAGTGGTAAGGTGATGGTTCTGGCTGGCAGCCTAGGTTTGGGCTGTGCTCAAGAGAAGCAAGGCTACAAGTTTATAGTACATGGAACACACTAGGCCAGTGGTTCTCAACCTTCCTAATGCTGCCACCCTTTAATACAGTTCCTCATGTTGTGGGGACCCCAATTTCATTGTTACAAATTGAAAATAATTAAAGCATAGTGATTAATCACAAAAACAATATGTAATTATATATGTGTTTTCCGATGGTCTTAGGCGACCCCCTGTGAAAGGGTCGCGACCCACAGGTTGAGAACTGCTGCAACTAGGCACTTATTGACATGGCAAATACTTATTGACCACCGACTGACTATGTAGTATTAGAAAAGGAAAAGACAGAGGTTTCCTTTGTAAAAGGCTAAAAGAAACTGGATAACTAAAGAGTAACAGATTTCAAAATTTTAATAAAACTAGGGGTGGCACAAAAATGTTATATCATTACTTACACGGGTTACTAGTGAACAAGGTACGTGAGAAAAACTCCAAAACTGGAGAGGGTCAAGTGGAAGAATGCCCCCTGGTAAAAGGGCTGTCCTGGGCTCCATTGCAATCTGTAGAATGGATATGTACAGGAACAGGAAAATTGTGTTTTCAAGAACAAAGGAGATTAAAATCCTAGAATAAACCATAGGCAGCAAGATCTCAGACATCGTTCATAGCAATATGTTTACAGATACATCTCCTACGGCAAAGGGAACTAAGAAGAAAATAAACAAATGGTAATACATCAAACTAAAAAGCTTCTGCACAGCAAAAGAAACCATCAACAAAACAAAAAGAGAACCTACTGCATGGGAGAACATATTTGCCAATGATACATCTGCTAAAGGGTTAATGTCCAAAATATATAAGTAACTCATACAACATAACAAAAGGAAGACAACAATCCAATTAAAACTGGGCAAAGGACCTAAATAGACACTTCTCCAAAGAGGACACACAGAAGGCCAAGAGACGTATGAAAAAATGCTCAAAGTCACTAATCATCCAAGAGATGCATATCAAAATGACAGTGAGGTACCATCTCACACCTGTCAGAATGGCTATCATCAACAAATCAACAAATGACAAGCACTGGTGAGGATGTGGAGAAAAGGGAACCCTTATACACTGCTGGTGGGAAGGTAGACTGGTGCAACAATTATGGAAAACAGTATGGAATTTACTCAAAACATTAATTATGAAACTGCAATTTGACCCAGTGATCCCACTTCTAAGAATATATTCTAAGAAACCCAAAGCACCAATCAGAAAGAATGTATGCACCCCTTTGTTCATAGCAGCACAATTTACAATAGCTAAAATCTGGAAACAGCCCAAGTGCCCATCAGTAGATGAGTTGGTAAAAAAGCTGTGGAACATTTATACCATGGAATGCTATGCATCAGTGAAAAAGAAGAATATCTTACCCTTTGACACAGCATGGAGGGACCTGGAGAGAATCATGCTAAGTGAAATAAGTCAGTCAGAGAAAGACAAGTATCACATGATCACACTCCTATGTAGAATCTCAGTGAAAAAATAAACTGATGAACAGAGTGGATCCAAAGACATGGAAGAATGGAACAGAGTGCAGAACCTCAGAGAGAAGGTGGGGGAGGGTGGGTGGGAGATAATCAACCAAAGACCTTGTATGCATATATGTATAATCTATGGACACAGACAATAGGGTGCTGAAAGCCGGGAGCGGGAGGGGCTGGAGGGCTACAGGGGGTTAATCGGGGGGTGGAAGGGGGGCATATATAATATTTTCAACAATAAAGACTTTTTTTAAACAAAAAGAACTAAGGAGATGAAAATAAAAATAAATTTCTATTCATAAATGAAACATTTTTACAGGGAGATTATCTTTCTTCTGTGACATCCTCATTCAATTTCCTGAAATCTAATAACAAATTGAACCCTCTAAGCTTGTGAGTACCACAAAAAAGCACAAGGAAAACTTCTGGCTTTTCTAAGACAGAGATGGTCAAAACAATCAAAGTCTATCACCTCCCTTTTTGGTATGATATGTCAGACACTACTAATAGTTGCCTGCTTATATCTGCTCAGCCCTTTCTCCTTTCGTTGTTGTGTTTGTTGTTCTCTGGCTTGCAATGTGTGTAGTGAAAATATTTTTCTCAGCCATACTAGCACCAGGGGACAATGTGATGAAGCAACAGCTCACTTCTTTGGGGAGAACACTCAAGGCAGCAGAATCAGATGGTGCACACCCTTTGGTCCTCTCCTTTGTCCTTCGTGGAATATGGGCCCAGCACTGGTTGATGGCCATGAGGTGAAAGCCATACTGTCTTGGCCCTTTCAGGCTCTTATTACAAAACACCATAGACTGGGTGAGTCATAAACTGCAGAAATGTGTTGCTCACAGTTCTTATGGCCATTAGTCCAAGAGTGACAGGACTGTCAGGTTCTCCTGTGTTTGCAGACTGACAAGCTGTTGCCTCCTCACATGGTAGAAGTGGAGAGGAAGCTCTCTGAGGCCTCTTCTATTAGAGCACTAATGACCTAATCACTTCCCAAAGGCACCACCTCCCAGTACTATCACATTAGACATTAGGGTCCAACATATAAATTGAGGAGACACCAACGTTCAGCCTATAGTACATACATTAATTCCTGAAAACTAGAAGGAACTAACTCTCTGGTGGCATTATTGAATGCTATGTCAGTCCTGGACCACTAACTTTTTAATGCTAAAATGTAAAAGCCTTAATGTATTACAGCCTAGTTTTTAGAAGTTTCTGTTGCTTGAAGACAAACACAATCCTCAAGTGTATTTCATTCATTAATATAATGTATTGTACACACTAGCTCATTAATATAGGAAATCCTCTGGGGGAGGAATTATTATTACAAGACCAAAGTGAATTACCTTGCATCAAATCTTCTCTTTATCTTGAATTTTCTCCCCTCTTAAATCACAAATCCTATTTTCCCCCAAGTCTTTCTGGCCTCTCTCCTCCACCTGCACCTCTCTGGCCCTTAGATCAGACTTTTCTCACGTGAAGTATTTGCAAAAGCCTCCTTATTGTTCTGTCTACTTTCAGATTCATTCATTTATTCATGCATGCAGCAACTCCCTTGAATGTCAGGCACAATAGATGCTAGAAAAAGAGTAGTGATGTAGATATATGTGGCTCATGCCATTAAACACCTTGGATTCTTCCTTTTTACTGTCAACAGTGATCATCCAAAAATGTATAGATGATCACATTGTTTCCTATTTAAAATCCTAAAATAACTTTGCATAGCCTATAAGCAAAACTAAAAACTTTAAGTTTCATGTAAGGCCTTTGGGAACCCCACAATATGCTAACTTTCCAACCTCATCTTATGACCTTCCATCACCTTTTTCCTTCCAGGTACCTATTTTCAAGTTCACTGAACTGCTTGCTAGGTAATGCATTTAAAGTGTCTTACGCAAGGCTGGCAAAATAGGCACTTGGAAAATGTGGCTTGCTTTCCTCAGCCCTTCCTCAAACACACCACACACTTTTATACCTGCTGAGTTCACATATAATTTTGCCTGAAATTCTTTGTGCACTTTTACTCCCAGAAATCTACTCAGAGTTCAAGGTTCAGCTTCAATTCTGTGAGCTCTGTAGGTATCCCAGATAATGTGGAGAGTCAATGGTTGTGCTTTTTACCTTCCTTCCACATCCTAAAACAGAGAAGTTTCTAAAAATATTGAAAGGAATCACTGATAAGTGCACTTAATTTGTTTCAAATAAATTAAGTTTCTAATGCTGCCCGTAGGTGTCAATGTGCTGTTAGAGAGAGATCAAGGAAGATTATTTAGAACTGGCTTTATGGGAACTTGATTGTAACAGATTCCCAGTAACCCAAAGGCAGTTAAAATGTTCAGCTCCACAATCATCTGAGGCAATGATAACATCTAATGCAGCAAGTGCAACTTCGCAACACACGGATTTAACTTATTTAATTCAACATTCATTAAGCACCTAATGTGCGGACCTAGGTGGAGTTGCCCACCAAGTGCACAGATTGATATAAAGCACAGGTTTTCCTGGGGGGTTGAAAGGGAGGAAAAGGTGTAAGTCAAATGAGGCAAGAGAGTAAGTTTAGATTAGATATGGAAGAAATGAAAACCCCAAAGACTAACAAAACTAGGTGAAAAAGCAAGAGATTACGTGTCTGAATATCTCAATGTAGTCAAAGAGTCAGTGTGGTGGATGTCATGGGTGAATATGCTTGAAGAAGAGGAGACTGTGACTAGGAAATGGGAAATCTGAGTTCAAGGTTTTAATGCCAAAGCAATCCCTAGGAATGAGAACATCCCCAGAGCACTCAGGAGTGTGGGGTAGAATATGAGACTGGCCAATTACTGAGGTGAGGAAGATAAAGCACCATGAGGCTAGCTAGACTGTTGAGCTTGTCCATGTGAACAGACACGCCATCTAGAAAAACAAGTAAAGATGCAGAATGCAAGCCAAATGGAGGATTCTCCCTATTTGAAGAAGGTCAACTATGGGGAGACTCAGAGGATAGTCAAGCTGAATAGTTTAACTCTCACAAGACAGGCATTATTTACACAATGATGGTTGAACAAGGCTTTGGAATGTTACTGAGGATTCTCTCGCCCTTGATGTTACTCACAGGTAGGTACCAAAGCCTAATGCTGAAAGGAGAAATGATTAGTTTTAGTTGAAAGGGCGAAAGAAAATTGTATTCTTGGGGAAAAAACATGTTTGAATTAAGTCAAGAAAGTTTAATAAGTCTTTTAAGAAGAGGATGAAGAGGATAGAATTTTCTTCATCAAGAAATGGGATTTCTTGAAAGTAAAATATTGCAAGTAAGAAAGTAGGAGGCTGACCATTTTAAATATATGAAGAGCATAGATCGCCCGAGGAGTTTTTATTTTTGCAGGGATGATGGGTTGTGAGGCACAGTGAATTGGCTGACATCAAGATTTATTATTAATGTTGAAAGCATTACATATGCCCCCTTCACTCCCCCATTGACCCCTTCTAGTCCACCTCTGCCCCCCACCCCAGGCCTTCACCACCCTATTGTCTGTGTCCATAGGTTATGCATATATGCATGCAAGTTCTTTGGTTGATCTCCTCCCATCCACCCACCCATTCCTACCTTCCCTCTGAGATTCCACAGTCTGTTCCATGTGACATCAAGAGGTATGTCCTACCTAGGACAGGAAATGTGAGCCTTCTGTGGCCTTTGTTCTGGGTTCATAAGTAAACATTGTTGAGAAGTCATTGTGTGTTTAAATAAATTCTAACCTTGGTGGATTGGAACTAAAATTATAAAATTTTCATATCCTTACCTCCTGGTGGAAAACTCCCAATAAGAGAGATGACTTAAGCTTTTGGAGGAATATGCTGTGGCCTGGACTGAGTCTCATCTTGGGGATGCCCCTGGCAGCATCAGTCAGAGGTAAGACCCAGAAAATGAAGACTCACTCTCCAAGCCATGAAAGGTTATAAAATTACCTGATTGTTGTGTCTGAAATATGGGAAGCGCAAAATATATTTGTTGAAGAGTTAATATGAACTGTAGGTTTTAACTTTCTGTTAGAAGTTTTGATAGCACATTTTCAAATTGCTTAAAAGGACTGTAGGGAATACTTGGCATTCTTTCTGGCTGCCCTGTATCTGAGCCACTTCTCTACTTAAGGGAGTTCCCATTTGGTGAGTTACGATTAGAAACTTGTGCTA